TCATTTTACTTGAGCCATATTTTGACCTTGTTAATTATTCGCTTATTAGCCTTGGCTGTTTTCACATGAGCGTATATGTGTGTACACTTCATGTCCCATGATTCATCACATGTCTGTAGTTTATTTTGTCTGCCTATAAATATTGAGTAACGCTTAATTAAAGTGGAGTTGGCTTCCCAGCCATCTTCCATACATGTCAAAATTGCTTTGCTATGGCTTTCGCTCGCTTGCTTGCCTTTCAGCACAACTCTTCTATGCTTGTTTAACGCATCTGTACATTTGGATATATGTGTGTGGTCTCGTAGTAAACGTAATCAACACTTCGTATTTGTCTTCCGATTAATATACCGTTGGGACGTTATATAGAACGGTTATCAAGGCGAGCTGTATACGAAGTTTAAAGATTATATCGAATACCGGCCTCTACAGGCTACACTCAATCACAGATACAACAGAAGACTGCTGTGTCTTCATGATGTGTCTGCATATGTATTATTCAGATTTTAATTGAACGAATATTATATTAACATTGATGCAATCTAATCAGTAGTTTTGTACTAATCACTTACGTTAATTAAAGTATGTACTTCACTTGAATTCAATATTTATCATCAGTATAAGGTTGTCAAAATTGTTCAATTTTATTGAAATCACGAACCAGTCTAAGTATGACAACCGTTAAAAACCTGGGAACCAAAGACAGCCATTTCGGGCTCGAATCTAGGACTTTTATTCCATGAGTGAACGCTTAACCTCTAGATAGTGTGTAAGTCTAATTACAATCGATCAATTGTCTTCTGTGAGTACCTTTCTCACACCCGACATGGTTGAACTCCATTAGTCATAGCTTCTTATTAGAACTACAGAAATTTCCTCTCGAAGCTTGTCACTAGTGAGCACATGATAATTTTCAGTGCTTGATTATCTCATACTAGGACAAAACGGCTGTCTAGTGCTTTCGGGTTTTCACTGATTGTCTAAATTAGATCCTTCAGAGATTTGAATGAAATAAACACTTATCACTTGAATGAATCAATGTGGTATATCTGTTGTTTCAATGTTAATGTCTAATCTCAACCAGTCCACGAAATTGTGCGACACATCCACCATTGTCATTAGTGAGTTCCTATCTCATAACAGACCCGGTTGAACTCCACTGGTCACTGCTTCTCTCTAGAACCCCAGGATATACATCTAGAAGCCAGTCACTAGTGAGCATATATTGATTAATATCAGAAGGGGTTTTGTGGAGATTGTAGTAATTTGAATAATTGAAATCATGAATTAATTGTTAATAACTGTAAGACATAGATCAAAATCCAGAAAGTTTAAAACTAAACATTTATTATTAACTATTGACTATTTAGAATTGAACTTAGAGGTTATTGTTCGGAAATTGACATTTATCGTTTGGATTTCAATGAACATTGATTCATGTAAACGTTTAATTCTTCAGTGGTCGCTTTATTTAAATATACGATATGACAGGTCACAAACCCGCTTACTTTGTAACTGTTATGGAAGAGAACTTTAATGAATAAGAATCTTTTCATTAACCAACCATTTAATCCCTAATGAAACTTCTAGTAAGCTATAAAACTGTTATTAAAACTTTTCTCGTTTGCTATTCTACATGAAACAACCAGTAAAGCTATATTTCATCTCTGAGGGACCGTAAAATCTTGTCCCTTTGTAGCCAGACAGAAGTCAACAAATAAAAGTATGATTTATCATGACAGGTGTGGGATCAAGATTTGGAATTTAAAGTTTTTGGATTATTGCTGATCTCAGTTCATGATGAAAACTCTAACCTTTACTTTTAATCCTATTTTTGAACTTCATTTTTATTTTCACGCCATGACCTTGAGGCTGTTTTCCACGTCCACCATAATTTCACCTGTCACAGCTTTACCCAACAACGTTTTCTTCCAAACAATTTTTTCATTTAGAGTAAGCTTTCAAAATTTGTAGCAATGATATAAACTGAATAACTTTATGTTAAGTCCCGATAAGCATCAGGAATGGTAACTTTTGGGATCCATTTATGGACCAATATTAAACGTATATTTTTATTGTATAATTGTTAAATAACTAAACTATACATATTCATGTCCCTCTTACTATTAGCTTTATTTTGACCTATGAACTATTATTCTACGATTTACCATTGTTGAGTTATGCCCTGGCTATCAACTACTATCTCCCACATTCACAACCACTTTTGGCTAAATCTTGTACAAATGTTGTTTCCTATTTTATTGGTACGATGTGGTCTGTCTGGTTGGTATATAAACCCAGTATAGAAAACATTTGAACAAAATCTAGCCTAATGTGGCTGTGAATGTGGGAGACTGTAATTTATAGTCTGAGTATAACTCAAGAGCAGTAAATCGTATAATAATAGTCTATGAGTTAAAATAAAGCTTATAATGGGAGGAACATGACTTTGCATAGTTTAGCTACTTAACAATAAAAATATATGTATTGTATTGGTCCATAAATAGTTCACGAAAATTAACATTCATAATTCTCGTCGGGAAATAACATTAACAAGGTTTTACATTAACATTTCATAACTTTTTCCTTACTAATTATTTTTGTTTTTATACATGAAGTAACGTCCGATTCGATAAATGCAATGATATGGAATGTGATGGTTTAAAAAAAGTTCTTGTTATTGATAAAGATGGTGGATTATTTGGTCAACCTAGTGTTATAGTACCACAATCAGAATGGCAATATAATCTCAATCCTTTGTATGGTGTTGGTGATAATCGTATACCTTCAAGGATGTTAACTAAAGTTGATGGAACATCTATTAATCCTACAATACAATGGCCTAACAAAGGTAGTTATCTATGAATATACCGTTTATATGTTATTTAAAATTAGTACGATATAATCAGTGATTTATCAAGACAAATATCTTACTTTTGAGAAACGAAATTAGGATCGTAGATAGCATTAGTAGAGGATGATTCTGTATCACAAATTAATTAAAGTTGAAAATATAGTTCATCAGGTTTCAACTTCATGATCTAGAGATTTCGCACTTGGAGTAAGAGTTGAAGGATTATGATCTCTATCCTTTCCTTGACCTTGCGTAAGCCACAATATAAAAGACCTAAGCTAGTAATTTTCATCATTCGGAAAAATAACTGGAAAGAATATCTGTCTTTTACTATTATGGTTATTTTTGTACACCTATATCCTTGTTTAATTTTTAAAGAATTATGTTAAAACAATGATAGAACTATATTATACTGATGATTTTGAGCAACTTATCAAGCAATCAGTAAACAGCGTTTAGTGCTGTTCATTATAAAATGTAATAAAATTAATTTAGATAAACAGTCACGACAGCAAAGTATTAGAGTTAGGTATTAGCTGTTGAGGTTAGGAGTTGAGGTTTGTATTTTTAAAGTTTTCACCATGAACTGGAATCAACCAGAAAGCAAGATTGATTGATAGTAATACTGATGAATGATCTTCATGACTAGATTAAAAAGGCGCTGTCCTCATTCTGATTGATTGGCGCATAAATTATAGTGCTACTATGTTAGGGTCAGAAACTCGAATTTCTAGGGTTAAGTTTAAAATTTAATTTTACAATAGGAGAGTAGATTTTTCGTCACACAAAATTCATTAACTGTGCCTTGAATCACATCAAGATTAACGTCTGATTAACACATTAATAACTAGATGTAGCCATTTTTTAAAATTTAGATTAAATTAAAATGTAAGCTTTTCTTCACTGAGTTTTGAACTTTGCACAATAAATACTACCTCGAATCTGACTGACTCCCTATAAGTCATTGGTATGGTATGGAAAAAAAGTGACAATAAACAATTGAATACATATTTCTTCACAGTTTAAGTCATCAAAAATGTTGTTTACTAACAGTATTCTTCTTATCAGTATAGTGGGTGTGGAGATTATTAAGTTTTTAATTGAGATCATAAACCGATTGATGTTAGACCACCATTGAAAACCTGGAAGCACTGGATGGCCGTTTCGTTCTATTGTGGGACTCCTGAGCAGTGCGCATCCACGATCCCGCTCGCGGGACCCGTACCCAGGGCCTTCAGTCTCGCGCGTGAATGCTTGACCTACTGGACCACTGAGTCGTCATCCAATGGTGTTAATGTATAACCTCAACCAATCCACGAAATTGCGCGACCATTTTCTATTCTTCTTCTTACTTCATAGTTCAAGTAATAAAAGAATAAATTGTGGAAATATTTTGTTACAATTTCAGCTGGTTTTCTTCAAAAAAAGGATTAGACCATATTAATATCATTACCAGTAGGTTATATGCTAAGTTAGTGTTATCTTACAGGCAGATGTATATGAATAAACTTTGTGCAATCTTTAAGGGGTGTGATATGTGAATACCATAAAAAAATATATGTAATCATCAGTCTGTTAGAAAGCAATGTCCTTAGAACGAATTCTTTATTAATTCAAACAGCAAAATATGAATAGTATGTGTCGGTTATCCAGAACTGAATAGTATTGTAGCGAACGAGAATTCAAGTGCGGACAACTAACTTATTGCTTAATGCAAAATTACAGAGTATCTTAGTAAAATATGAAAACCATACATTAAATATTTTATTTGCACATCTTCCATCAATTATCTCTTTCAGGCTTCATCGTTCCTTCACTCCTCTTTTTATTAAAATCACTCTCTTTTTACATTACTGTTATCTTCAATTGGAACTTTTCAACCTTCTGCTGCCAGGCATTCCACTTCTGATTGGTGTTACATACTATCTATACCCGCCATATACACCTTAATATTTTGTATAATACTAATCTTTGCGTTACGAGAAAATTATTATGATGTTCAGTAATTTCCATGTCATTATTATTAGTACTAATAATATCACATTGTTAATCTTTCTCTTTAGGTATTATTCGTGATAATTCATGTATTTATATGCCTAAAATGCAAGCATACAAGTGCAGTAAAGCATTAGACCATAAAGTATTACTGATTGAATCAATGGATCCAGATGCATTGGAACGTAGACTCTCACCGATCGCGTTTGCAACTGATGGTTTATCTGTATGTTTCAAGTTATTTTTATCATGAGTTATTAGAATTTTAGTCTGATAGGGTAGTGTAATAACACTTTGAATATTCACAAACATAATGATAATAATAAGATCAACAGATAAGCAGATGTTTTTGGGTTATAAGTTGTTTGTGTATAATGTTACAATGAATCAAGTTATTATCTTATTAAAGTCACGAACCAATCTAAGTTGGACAACTATTAATAACCTGGACTGCCGTTTCATGATTGTATGGAACTCCTCAGTAGCGCACGTCTACAACCTCACTAGCCGGTAGTTGAACCTAAGACCACTGAGCCGGAGTCACATGGTATTAATCTCTAGCCTTAATCAGTACACGTTGTTGGGTAACCATCTTCTATTATCTTCATTTAGTATCTTTCTCATACCTGAAACAGTTTGGTTCCACTGGTCATAGCTTCTCAATAGAACTCTTCAAATTTTCTCTTCAATCTGGTCACTAGAGAACACATGATAGTCGTCTGTACGGATGCGTGGAGATTTTTGAATTTCATTTGAACTATAAACTGATCTAAGTTAGACAACCGGTTAAAACCTGGAACTGTACAGATGTTTGTTTCTAGTCTGGAAATCCTTAAAACTATCCATTCACGACTTCAACACCTGAGATCAAACCTACGATTTTCAGGTTCCTGGCGGTTAATCTTTAGACTACTGAGCCAGCTTCGAATAATTTATATTTTTTTATTATCACTGGTCGCTAAACTTAGATCAATTCATGATCTCTATGAAAAAGGCATTTATTTAAATTATCACTCTCATAAAAAGATTTTTATTAGTTACATAGCAATACTATTCACATTTCGATTTATTTTAAGACTGCAGAATACCTCTAGATCGTGGTATCAGTTTACAGATTTATGAACAATGATGCTACTTGCTGAACAAAATAAACTCGAGAAAATGTTGTGAAATATATTTAACGGTTTGAACTCAGTTGTAACAATGATATTGTTTGGCCATCAATGCCAAGGTTGGATATTGTATATTATTGAGTATCGATGTTTTCCCTGAATATTCCCTTCTCTTCTTTGCGTTGAGCGAGAAATTCCACAATTTGTTTTATTTCACGAATCGTTTAAGGTTATCTTCATTTCAAACTACATTTATATTCCCATTCGGTAAATCCATTTGATTAGGTTTCTGTCATAATTAACTGCAATATTGTAGGGTCGGGTACTACGTCAAGCCCAATTAGGTTATTGTAGCCTCTGGACAGATCAATCTATTCATTATTCTCAAGCCACATTTTTACCCTGTCACTTATTCCCTTATTAATCCTGACTGTTTTTATGATACGTATGTGTGCTAATTACTCACCCTACTCGGTATGTGTCTGTGACTTATTTTGTTCGACCATAAGTATCGATTCACGCTTGACTAAATCGAGTTGGCTCACTCTCTTTCGTTTTGCTTCGCTTTCCAACCAACGATTGTACGAAATATACCTATTCAAAAATCTGCTCTCGTATTTGACTTATTTAACTCCGTTATTCACTAACGCAAATTAAGTCGATAATTATATACGAGGACAGACGACATGTGTATTTCAATAGTAATCATTCATAGGATCCAAATGAAGTCAGATTTAGGGCCACTAAAATATCACTGTAGATAAAAATATCAATGATCAAGTACTATTATTATTATTATGTAAATTAAAATCGTCTACCTATGATTCAGAACATAAAATCTTGAAAGCTCTAGACCAATTTCTACCCAAATTAACTTTCTATATAACATCTATAGACTAATAGAAACTGTTTCTAGAATTCTAAACGAAATATCAAAACATACTTTCTTGATTGTGATTGACTTGGTAGTACATCACAGCTTCTAGTTTTCTTTTTATTTCAATACTTCAAAATACGTTTGGTCATTATTATTATTATTATTATTATTATTATTATTATTATTATTATTATTTTATTTTAATTTATTCATAAGGCAAATTACATAGATTTAATAAATGGTCCAAGTGATCATGGAGTATGCTCAAGTTATGCATGTTTAAAACGTATGAGTACATTTATGTCTATTGTTGCACGTCAAAAAAATTTTGTTATGTATATGACTAGTACACCTCCACAAGAATTACGTTTACGTTTACCACAAGCTGATCCAGATTATGCTGTACGTCTTGGAATTGATTATTTCACTGCTGGAAGACTTGATGTTTATGTGAATGGAGTGTATATGAAAGCAAAAAATGCTATAACAAATAATTTAGTAAGTTATGATTTTATATGATTGATAATGTATTTATTGATTCGCAAAATTTTATTTCGTGTATCAATCACTAACTGTTTATTATTATTTAAGTAGTAAGTTGAATAAGGCGAAAGTGTTTTTCTAATGTTTTTTTTTATTTGATCTCTCACTACTCCCATAACAAATGTAAGGTTTTACCACACCTAATTACATGTGAATTAGTACATTATGTTTGCTTTTCTTTAAAAAAGTGATCTGTACGCGGTACTGTTCTATAGCAAACAGATATCTTAATATGTAAAGAAAACACAAGTATTACCTTTATTGAAGAGTAACAACAGAAGTGAGAGTTTTTATATTTTAGTGCTCAGTGTAAATGTTTACGATATTCTTCCAGTTTACATGTTTATAGTATACCAAACGGTTGTTCTTCATGAATATTTGAAACTCAATTAACAGGGTCACAGAAAACCGGTGCTGTTTAATAGCTTACAGTAATCAATATCTTACTTTTGTCCCTGAGCAAAGATATCATCTCAAAATTACAGGAAGTATAATTTAAATGTAGTGGTAAATTGAATGTTCCTGTTGATATTCAAGACTGGAACTGATCAGTCTCTTTCAGCATATATACATCCTATGCGGATTACCTCGATACTGCCACCAATTTACAAGCATTTTTAAGAAAAAAATGAATAGTGGCTAGCAGTGGTAAACGAGTTTGAGGCTGCTAAACCTATCATCGAACAAACAGAATTGTCTCATATTTGATGTGTCAAGGAACGATGTAGGTTTTTGACTATAGTTCTTCGGCTGGTTAAATTTGAAGAAATCAATAACTGTAGAATGAATAACTCGTTTTCAATGTAATCATAGTAGTTTTATTGTTGAGCCACTGCTAAATGTACACAAATCCATTATATTTGAAAACTTCATTTCATAATCTATAATGTCCTCAAAACACAAACAATACACTCATATATATGTATATATCAGGTGATTATTCTGTCTTTGTATTCTATTTTAGGGTCAAACTGTACTACAAGCACCTAAAACATTAAATGAATTTATGCCAAATGTAATGACTGATCCAGCTGGTACAAATTATTTCGATGATTCAGCTCAAATGTTATATGTTATTATAAAAGGTGAAGATATTATTACAATTAAATTATCTCAATTAATAAAAGTAGCATTTGGTTTACCCGCTATGACTATTGATCAATTTTATGGATCAGAAGTTGTAAACAATTTAGCTAATTACTTGGGTGTAAGTATAAATATTTTATTTTATTCTAACATTATTTGTTTATTGGAGTCATTTGGTAATGAAAAAACTTCTTATTCAAGCACTAGACAAAAGATGATTAAAGATTGAAAGCATATTTCTTTTCAATTAGTTTTTTTTTCATTTTGATTCCATGCTAATATGTATGTTTTAATATAATAGTAATAATAATGTGTTGTGGGTTACTTATATCCACATAAGTAGTATATAACGGTGGTCAGGCATAGAATGTATTTTAGTAGAAGATCGAGGAGGAAAGAACGGAAACGGAACGCAATTGGTATAAAAATGCATGAACAATGAAATCTGAGACAATAAACTGTTATTTACAAATGGTTCCCATTGTGAAAATTAGAACAACTCATGTAATCGAACAATTGTTTTCAATTAGATTTTCATCAGGCTTTATTCTAATATACATGAATATTTATACGAAAGTGTTAAAGCAGTCAAGGTAATTTGGGTCCATAATCACAATGAAATAGATTTAATTTAAAGCTGAACGACAAAAGAGAGAAGAAAATGTAACATTTAATTTACCAGATTAGTATATTTATACTTTTTCTACACCTGCGTCAGTCGAATAATCTGATCAAAGACACTGGAAATACAAATGTCTTACTGCATAAAACAATTCATTTAATGGTTTAGAGCATTCGGAAGTGCCACTTTTTACTTTTTACACCATTTGTTCCTCATGGAAGATATTTCTTACATCCAGCTTTCCATTGTAAGTGGTATTTATGTCTCAACCATGCTTCTTAGCTTGTTCACTTCCTACATTTCTATGACGATATTTAATGTGAAAACTTATGATAATTCATATTATTCTCATAGGATCTTATACAAAACTGACTATTTTTCTCAAAAAGTAACCATCCTACTTCACTGGGGTTTATAATTATACCATGCATTTATTCATGTATGTCAGAAGATCAAAAAGCAAATACTTTAAGTACTTACTCACAACGTTACATAAATAGCTACCGATCAGGAGGCTACGTTTCAAATACTAATTACATTTTTAGTTAATTTGAAAAAACGTGCTACCTACCGGAAATACGATTACTAAGTTGTAATGTATACATAATTTAGAAAGTGATCTTGTACATTTATCTAGTTAAGATGACAGAAGATGACATTGATTTGACTAGGGTTTCGTAAAGATTATGTATGTTTTTTTTCATTTCATAAACAAAATAACGTGAACATATTTACCTTTAGGGTCTAACATGTTATGAAATATCATAACTTATTATCTAACTTAGCACAAAAGACTTATATTTTGACATAACCTTCATTTCTCCATGTTTAAATGCAATCACATTCTATTTCCTTAGATACCTGCAAAGAATATCCGGATAGTCAAGGTGGTATCTGAGTCCAGTACAAATTCAGGACGTCGTCGACGTCGATCTGCATCTGGTGTTTTTGTTGAATTAGAAATTTCAACACCACCTAGTCAAAACTTATCAACAGGCGTAACACCAAATGTTACATCTGGTTTGACAAAAGTTGAGGAAATATCTTCCAACGTTGTAACATTAATACAAACAGGATTATTAGAATCAGGTAATTTAAATTTATTCTGAGAACTTTGAATTCATTTAACCATGCTATCATACACTGATTTAGCTACTTTCATTAAAGCTTTATACATATATAGATAATCATTACAGTTCATTTTTTGGGTTAATATATTTGTCCAAGTAAATCACTCAACCGACACAATGATAATTTGTAAATGAAAAGAAAAACAGCTAATAAGCTTTAGATAGGTTGTTTAATTTTCTGGTAGTTTTACTTATGGAATGATACCGATTGGAGAACCATTCAGAACGACTGAAGACTGGTCTACTCATTTATTCTAGTTTTGGAATTTTTGGTATTGTGCAGATTATCAAACTTGGGATTTCACCTTTGAGAAGTCTGAAACTAAGACGTAAAAGTTGTGCTTCATCCTTTCGGTTTCAGTGATTTGCCAGCCGATATAAATTTACGTTGAAAACTGCCTTTAAATTAAGTGAGCATTAGAGACTTTTAAAGTTAATACAATTATTATACGTTCAACCAGAATAGCCTGTGTTTGATGACAGATGTGTTAAGGTATTTTTTGAAATTTCAAATTACCTAAATTTACAAGTTTTTGTATAACTGAAGAGAATGCAACGAAACACCACACTTTCATCGTACTCTATAAACCATTTCGTTCTTGCTTGGAAGTAAGCATGAATTGATGCAGAGATAAAGTAGTATGGTAAGACTACAATTTATGAACGAACCAATCAGATTTAGGATAACAGGTCTTGAATTTTGGCGTGAAATTCACTCATCCGTTCAGCCAAATAGCGTCTTGGTATTTTAGCTGATGTCAGTTCATGATGAAAAACCTTAAATCTAATTCCTAACCCCAACCATCAACTGTGAATCATAATCTTTATTCTTCAAACACTCATTTAGCCTTAGCAAGTGGGTAGACACTCTCAAGGTCATTTTGGCGTCGCTTAAAGGTCGTCTATAGATTATAGTCTCAGCAGTAATATTTCATAAAACTAATCAAGTCATCTTATTAATCTTGCAGTCAAGTTTAAATTATAAATAATGAATTGATAAGTTCTTTAAATATAATTGCTAACTCAGTTTGATTTTAGTTAGTCGTAAAGAAACTAAACCAGATTATTTTATAGTCTTACACTCGTTTTTTTAGAACAAACGTAAAGCTCATGTTGTTTAGCTTGAAGGGTTTTTAAGAAACTATGACTAATAGAGTGGTAATGAATGATGATCACACAATAACTTGAGCTGTTTGAAGTTAGAAACATGAATTATTGGATATCAACCCACTTATCTTGAAATAATGTGTATTCTGCAAAACATCAGGTCCATAGATTTGATACTTGAAATGTTAGTTTTGTAGTGCTAGAGAAGTCCAATACAATGATGAAATAGTGGTCAAGTGCTTCCTAGTTGTAAACAGTTGTCTAGTTAAAGTCTGTTCCCTTATCTCTATCGTCTTATGTTATGAATGAGATTTTAGATATTGACTTCTTATTGAATCAGTGAAGTATGAGTGGATATAACTAGATTAAAGTTTGAACATATTCATGCAAATACTTTAGAATATCGTAGAAACAAAATGTTGTACCATAAACTTAATAACAATTATGACGTTGTAATCTTTCATGTCAGATTAACGAACTCAGATAAAATGACAGTGAGTATTTGAATATACTTTGATAAATATTATCGATATTTATGTGCATAAATAATCATAATTACACTGAAAACTGGAATAAAAGTTTAATATTGTTTTATTAGTTATCAATACAACAGTTGTCAGTGTAACAATTCAAAAACCTACACCATTATCCGGCAGTGCATTATGGGCTGCTCAAGTTTCAGATTCAACAACTTCACAACAAATTCCTGAAGTTATTCAAATACCAGTAAAGAGTCAAGTTAAAGTTATAGTACCTACAGGATATACTTCAGTTGTTGAAGGAGTTCCATTCATGATAGAAATTAGTACATTGGACTCTTCGGTATGATTTTTGTCAGAGTTATTGACTTTGTGTGAATTAGTTAATTAATTTTTAACATATAGAAATTATAAATGAATTCAAAATTAGCAACAAACTGCAGTTTTATTATTCATATTATACTATAGTATTGTGTATTGAAATTGATCTACACCACTTTACGTTTACGCAAAACGTTATCATTTCAAATCATATGTCTTTGGTCTTTCGTATAACTAAACTTTAAAAACTAACAGTTGATTAGATACATTAGTGATTGATTAAATATTGGTGTCTTTATTTCAATTCAGTGACCAATTGTTAGTTTGAGCAATTGTCACTAGGCCATAATTCCTTTATTAATGAGTTGATAAGACTATAATACTTGTAATCAAATTAAAACCTAATCCATGAAGATTAAGAATTGGAGTATTTCTAATACAATCACTGGTTTAACATAATAAGTTTAAATCTTACAGTGAACAATAGAAAAATGGAATTTATTCAATAGATCAGTTGCTTACACAGTATATCCTTTCACCGAATTTCACCTAACAGTAAAGATTAGATTTGTACTTCAAACGAATAACATTTAGAGTCTATTAACTTCGTTTGACAATTTATTTAGGTGTTGATTATTGTCCAGAATGCAACCATACATAATGAGATGAAATAAAATGAACAAAAATAGTATAATTCTGTAATAATCTCTTAAGCAACTTGAAAAGCGATTAATTTAAAAGAAACGAAATAATTCATTAAGTATCGTTTTTCTTATGTCCTTAAGTCTTCTTATATTTTCATTTAATTGAGATAAGATTCCATTCTATTCAATTTTATATTCCTCTAATCCGAGCATATTTATCGCTCATAAATCAACGACATTAGCTATGACCAGTTATAGACTATGATCAACAACAATTTACCTTGAGTAGGGATCGAGATAGTTATTAGTACCTATGGATCTAGAACACAAGGTTTCCATCCGACGCAGTACTCAGTTCGAAGTAGGAACACTTCAAGCAGGCAACTCTCTGTTTATGTATTTCAAGCACACATCAGTTTATATATATATACTGAGAGAGAGAGCTACTAGACCACATTACACAGTAAATAAAAGTCACTGTTTACCCATAACCAAGCTGAAATGTTAGAGGATACAGTGAGAAGTGAATAATTAATTAGCGATAATTTAAAAAATGGAAACATGTCAAAAGCTTGTAAATAAGGCAACATAAAAGTATTATAAATCAAAAAGTTAATCATTACATAGTAAAACTAACAAATAATAGTTCACCAACAAACAGTTTCAGAAGTTCCGCTATAATTGTCGATGTAGTTTTATGGATTTTCCCGTTTTACCATCTATCACAACATGTGAATATTATAATAATATGATAATTTTCTTTTGGATTATATTGTTTTAGGGAAATATTGTAAAACCATTAGGTTCAAATTCAAGTATTTGGGCATATGAAATATTGCAACCAAATGCTACAGTGTCACCTGTAAAAGTACCAAAAACAAATTTTCCAGATCCTACAACTGGAACAGCATTAATTTCCAATTTGATATTTTCCGAATCTGGTCAGGCTGATCTCTTTGTTTCGGTAAGTTAATAAATATCTCTGTTATCAATGAAATGTTTTTTTATCAATTTTAATTTATGATTGAGATCATGAATTGATTGATATTAGACAACCATTGGAAACCTGGAAGCACTGAACGGCCGTTTCGTCATGGTATGCGACTCCTCAGCAATGCGCATCCACGATCCTGCACATATAATTCGAACCCAGGATCTTCGGTCTCGCACGTGAACGCCTAACCTCTAGACCGCTGAACCGGCATCTAACGGAGTTAATGTATAACTTCAATCAATATAAGTAGTATATATACATAAATATGACAGGAAATATTGTTTTCATATTTTAACAGAAATCATTATTTTTTGTTAGATGATAGAATATTAAAGTAAATCCAATTGAATTAAAGTTACCATTTTAATTCTCCTGAAGTCAAAAGAAAAAAACCTTGTCTGATATTATTGTTTAATAACAAATAAAACAAATGTGTAACTCTAGTACTGAAAATATTTAGCTAAGAAATTTACAAAAATTGAGATCAGCTAAAGGAACAAAGAAAACTAAGGACAGCTAACAATAGATCTTACCTGATTTGCAACTATCATACAATGCACAAACACTGTTTTATAATAAATGAATCTAGTGAACTTCATTTCCCATAGTAAAGGTAATTCTGTTAAAGTTTATCTAATGGTTGTGATCTTTAATTAAATATGACAACATCCTTATAGTTATGACACTTGTTTCAATGATATAAGGAATAACACATGGAAAATATGTTGAGACGGAAAAATATGGGATACATAAGTGATGGATACAACTAATTGAGTTTCATATTAAATACTACTTTAAAGTGCTACAAAATGCATGCTAATATTTGTATAAATCTTAATAAGAGAATGCTGGTTAAGGTTATTCTTTCTTTTTGATTGAGAACATGAACCGATTGGTGTTAGACTCAGTAGTCCAGTAGGTTAAGCATTCACGCGCGAGACTGAAGGCCCTGAGTTCGAATCCCGCGAGCGGGATCGTGGATGCGCACTGCTCAGGAGTCCCACAATAGAACGAAATGGCCGTCCAGTGCTTCCAGGTTTTCAATGGCGGTCTAACATCAATCATTTCATGACCTTAATCAAAAACTTAACAATCTCTACAACCCCTAAACTGATAGCTATTCTTTTCACTGGAAAATTTATGAAATACTCTGAAAGAATTCAAGTGCTCCAAATAAACTATGTAGTTAAATTTAAATCATTAAATACAATTCAAGTAAGAGCTCTTCATAATCAACAAATGACTAGTCAAATAAATAAAATATATCAGCTCACTGAGAGCAATAGTAACTTAATGTCAAAGGATGTAATAAGAATGGTAGGTGATATGATTACAAGTATGTTTTTTAGGCTTAAATACAAATCTTACAATTGTGTAAAATGAACGTATTTCAACAAGGTGTCTATTTCCTGGGTTTGAATAATTTTCATGAATTCCATTAAAATAATGAACCAATCTAAGTTAGAACAAAAATGAAAACCTGGAAGCACTTGATATTCACTTCGTCTTAGTGTAGGACTCCTCAGCGATGTTCATCCACGAACCTCGGATCTTCAATCTCGCACGTGAACGCTCAGCATCTAGACTATTGAGTTGGCATCCAACGGCGTCAGTGCGTGACCATCTTCTATTGTCTTCGGTGTGTAGCTGTCCTGGACATTAACAACGTTGGATGCCGAGTCAGTGGTCCAGAGGTTAAGCGTCTGATCGAGGTCTAAGGTCCTCGGTCCCTGTACGGCGTACGGGGTCGTGAATGCGTATTGTTGAGGAGTTCTGCACTAGAACGAAACGTCTGTCCAGTCCTTTCAGGTTTTTAATAGTGGCCTGAAATTTATTGGTTCACGATCACAATGCAATCAACAATTTTCATAACCTCATACTGAAAATGATTTTATAAACCATATGTTCTCATTGGAAGCTTGAAAAGTTCATGTTGAAATAAATAGTAAATAATTCTTTACTGAACATTTAGCACCGGGCCCCAAAATGAAATAAGTTGACATTAACTTCTCGCATCACTATTTATCATTTGTATTATGAAGAATTACATTTATAAACTTGATCTATGGAATTCGATCAGTACTAAGAATTGGACAAAATATACCGGTGCCCATTAATAAGTGATTAATCAGTGAAAACACTTCATTCATACAGCTTATTAGTAATGTCTCAGACTTTGAAATCGTCTGACAAGCATTAGAATCCATTAGGGAGCATTATTTCCCTGAAAGCTACAAGTACACTTTGTTGACGAGTGCAAAACGGAAGGAGGATTAAATCGAACACTACCTACATTCGCCCAACATTTATACACCGTGTTAATAAAGATTATAACTGGAATATTATTAAAATCTAGGATTATAGTTCCATTGTAGTATACTTTCGTTTATCTACTACAAACAGTTTAGACCTAACAAACTGATTAATAATCTTCACCCTATCAATGAAAAACTGATAATTTAATGAAGACAAAACAAAACTATTCGAATTCAATAGTTTTTCGATTAACACACCATGTAAATTTGTGTAAGGTTGCTAATTAGGCTGCTTACTAATCCTCTGCTATTGACTAGAATGACGTGTAAACTTAGTTATTCAGTCTTGTTTCAACTGTACTGTAAAAAAATTGTAGTAGCAATGATAACTTATCTCCATGAAGTAATCAATATAGAAACAAATCACTTCATTAGTAATTTTATGTTCACATAGATGATGCTTGTCTAAATCCAAAAGAATTCGTTTTTAAAATACATCAATTTAATCTTATTTGTGTAATTTCCAGATAATATTTAATATCAATATTTATATTTACAGGTGATTTCACCAAATGACTCAACCAGATTAAATACATCTGTAACTTTTCCTGTAACACAAAAACAGCTAAGTCTACTTATTCGTCCAATTCCATCTAATTCTGATAATTCAATTATCAAATTATCTGTCAATCAAAGCTTTACCATTCAAATGATTATTATTGACAAACAAACTGGTGCTCCAGTTGAAATGATTAATTGGCGAGTAAGTTACAATATGAATTCGAATTATAGTCATTTACTGTATGAGTAACATGATTGGTTCAGTTAGGAAGAAACATCACATTGCTATTATTGAGATACTTTGAAATTTTCTAGAGTATTCATTAGAAAAAGGTTAAATTACGTATTACCGTTCTAGTCTAAGACACGTTGACAACAGTGTGAATCAATAATGCCACATAAATTCACAACTGGCCAATACAATTACTAGAATATCTAAGGTAGTCAAACTAATAGATTGATTAAGTAAATCTATTCTTAATTTCGAATCATGTTAAAGAAAAGCAACCACTGAGTAGTCATATTAGAAGATTAAATCTCATATTTACATACAAAAATGAGTGGAACTAAGTTACCCCTAACGAGTGGTCTAATGATCAAATAAATATACAAATGAAATTGACTTAACCAATAATATTTATTATTTGTTAGTTGTGACATAATCGAACCGAGAACTTTAGGGTTGCACAACTCCACTTTATTGGCTATATTGACTTATCATTATGATTGAAGTATAGGAATGTTTAATTCGGAAGATATTTTAATGATGTACAAAGAAATATTAGGTCACAAATATAACTAAAATACATGTTATGTGTTTTCATGATGCACTTCACCAACTGACCTTAGTAAAGTAATCATTAAAAAGCGATTGACAGTGGATAGCTGTTTTGTCTTAGTAGGGGATTATTTAATAATGAGCATCTATTACCCCGTCAGGGATCAAACTCAAGACTTTCAGGCCTCACTGTGAGTATGTAGAAATACAAACCATTAGATATCTCATGTCTATTCACTCAAAAAGATTCTGGGTTCGATCCCTAGTATCATTTTTTGATTGACCTTGTTAAGAAGTTCCATACGAGAACGAAACATCTTTCTAGTCTTTTCCCTTTCACAATAGCAGTTTAATGAAAGTGAGTTTATGTAGTAGATATTAAAACCCTAATTATATATCCACAAACCTTTTTCTATTTATAATTCTTTATTTAAGAATTTAATATGGAAATTCACTGGTGATATTTGTCCAAATAGTAGAAAACCAAAAAATATTCCAATAAATTCTTCTTCTTCTTCATTATTATATGATTCATCTAAGACAAATAATAATTTCACATGGACTATTAATGGATTTCAATTATCTTGGGTATATACATATTGTATTAGTGCTAATGCTTATTTAAATGACAGTATAACAAGACAATTACAATATGATTTACCAATAACCAAATTGAGTATTTATGTTAATCCAGAAAATTATACTGAACCAACTAAAAAAGTAATAAAACCATTTCGATTTAAAGTTAATGGTAATTATGAAAATATGTTGCTATATGTTGATGAATTTAAAGCTGCTATACAATCTGAATTATTAATGCGTTATCCTAATATATTATTTGAAAATATAACATTAAGTAAAGGTAAGAATATTGATTTATTAAATATTTGATAAAATTTTATATTTTAAGTAAAGATGGATAGTGGCTAGCAGTGGAATCTAGGACAAAGCGCGTTTCGTCCTATTTGGGACTCGTCAGCTGGATGTACCTGCATCCCAGAGTTGATGTTCACTATGGGACTTGAACCCAGTACCTTTCGCTTTAAACGCCATTGAGTGATCCACTTAACTACTGATTCCTGATAGCCACCTGATTGTGGGAAGATACAAATAAAACAACACCAAGTGAATTTTGATTTTATATTTGTTACTTAAATAATGAACTAGACCTTTCATATCTGCTTTTGGAATATAAAGGTAGAACCACATCATACTGACATATCTAAATGTTTCATGAAATAATGTTGAAGTTGTTATTTGGTGTATGGTACTGATGTCTACAGATATAAGTAGTATGTGTCACCAATCGAAAGTGGAATGCCTGAAGGTAGAAGTTTGAGAAGATTGAAGAGAAGAGAATGAGAGCAGAGAGTGGTTGATATGGAAATGAAGGAACAACAAAATCTGAGACGATTGATGAATATTTTGCAAATGAAGTGTTTACTGTATGGTTGTCAGATTTTACCAAGATATATTTATTATCCCCACTTGTGTTCGCATTCACAACAGTTACACTTCTCAGTAACCAATGGAAGTATATATTTATTAAATTTAGAAGCTTTTAGCACAAAGTAACAAAACTTAACTATGCACGGCATGATATATGAGATTTAAAATCGGTATTTTTTTTTATTCAAATTAAAGTGTTGTTCGCTGGTTTCTATATGTTTGCACATCATTTCCCGGCTTAGATTCCTAATAAGCCTTCGAATATTCTCAAAGACGACATTGTCTTGATTTCAAGTTGTTTGAAAGTACACTTAACAGTGTATTTACACAATAATGTCCATATTTAACAATTTCCTTATCCTAAATAATTACATCCAACATATCTAGTGGTCAAAGTAATAAACCTTATCTAGCGTATCACAAATAACATGGCTTGGTTTGGCATTATGTTTGAATAAATAGATAAAATTTCGGTCATTCCGGGTTTAAACATTGTATTGAATCTCATAAGGATCTCGTATATATTTTACATTTATACAAGGTTACTTCTACTGCAATATAATACCTAGTACCCTATATAACTAATCCAAAAGATCTTTAGTCAATTATAAAGATATAATCATATTACTAATGATGATTTTGGTAGTCAGCATTATTTTCAGAAATTTGGCCCTAGCACTTTGAAGTAGATATTTAGATTGTTATTGTTTTGGCAACATAGTATAGTTCTACACACTTCAGACAGAGAAATATGTTTTAAATCTTGTTCGATTTACTTCGTTAATGATTTTGAAGAAGATAATGTTTACGCGAAGTAATTCATATATACAACCGAAATGAATAAATCCATTGGACACATATTTTTGAGTTTATTACTCCATAGTTCTTCAAATTGTTTATGCAATCATTAGTGTGCTCTTCGACGGATACTGATAAACACAAAATCAATAACATACGAACTTAGAATTCAATTAATAATACTCTATAAAGAATTTAACACTGTAAATATTCATTAAAACAATTTGAATGTTATGATATATCACCATAAATATGTAGAAAATAGTGATAATCGAGCACATAATGAGGATTTTAAGATGGATTTAGTTATAGAAAAGAAAGATTTACTATAGTTTAAACATCGATACTTCAGACTTTCTGAAGACTTCACCACTCAGGTATTTAAGGCTGATATCACTAAGAATATGACAGTGGATGATTTAGGTTTAAATTATTATGAAAAGCATTAATTTTACACCTTATCGATCATCACGAAACCTTGTTCTAGGATACCCTACATATTAACTACAGTTAATTTATACTGTGCAAAATGAAGCACAATACTAAGTCACTTAGACTGACTGTAACATTTCCAATTTCGGAATCAGAATATGCTTAAAAATAAGAACTAGAATACATGGAACTAGTGGCTACTTAGTAATCTATATATGTTGTGTTGTATTGCAAATTTCAACTGAAAGATTTAGTTTAGAACCGTAAATGACTAAACATGATAAGAAACATGAATCAGTGGGTGAACAACGTGCTTCAGGAACTATGATAAAAGACTATGTAAAGTCATAGTAAATTGTTTAATGCAATAAAATTTTCTTTCGTTTGCTTCAGAAAATTAACTTTCGGAGATTGATTTCATATTCAGCTCTCAAGATTTCTAATTAAAATCAATCGCCAAACAGAAGCAAACTAATTGTTTTTTCCTCATAAAATTTGGTAATTTTGCACTGTAATTTGATAATATACCATATTTTCTCAAGAAAGACGTTTATTTTTGAAGGAATGGAATCAATGATTCTGCGAAATCAATCTTTTTGTTAATGTTTCTACTGTACCAGTAACTATATATATGATATATATATCGAAGAAAGATCTGAGTAATTGTGAGGTCTATAGTCATCACACTACTGTCAGTAATAGGAAAGGTATTCAACAGAGTGTTGCTGTACCGGATGAAAGGCTCAGTAGACGCCAAACTTCGATATCGGAGTGGGTTCCGTAAAGATCGGTGGTGCACAAACTAAATCGTGACGCTACGGATTATTGTTGAGCTATCAGTTGAGTGGAACTCGTCACTATACATCAACTTCTTTGACTATGAGAAAGCATTTGACAGTGCGGATAGAAGAACATTATAGAACCTTCTTCGACTCTATGATATATATATGTATAGTAGATGGTGAACAACTTCTGCATTGCAGTAAATTCCACCAAACTGAAACACTCGTGTAAAACATGTTTGCCATAAAGTTATCTTCCTTACACGAGCATAAAAATCTCTTGGTTCATGGAAATGTTTAAGATATTATGTTGCGGCATATATATTTTTAAGATGAATCAGATATTATTCTTATCATTTCTTTTACTTTAATAAACGCATTATAGGTAGTATAACTGTAGATTTGATTGCAGCATCTGATACGACAACTGTAATCCAAAATGCATTGACCAGTTTTACATCTTCTTTAAATGATGGAAGTGTTACGTTTTCCGTCGGAGGTGTTGATTATACAGCAACAAATGACAAGACAAATGCTGGATGTGTAAGTTTTAAAACTCCTCATTACATTATAAATTAATAATAATAAATTAATAATAAGACAATAATTATTGTCTTATTATTAGTAGTATGGGGTTGTGAGGACATTTGATTTTATCGAAATCATGAACTGATCAATGTTAAAACATCATTGAAAACCTGGAAGCACTTCGTTCTAGTATGAGACTCCTCAGCAGTGCGCATCCACCATTAGATTCGAACCCAGGACCTACGTTAACGCTTACCTCTAGACCACTGAGCTTTATATTGCTGTTCTGTTTACTTATTTGTGACAAGAAACCAATTATGAAAGATGAACATGTTGAAGAGTACCGTTGCTAATCTTATTTGAACATGATAAAAGGCCTAATTCAGTATAGCAATTATCCATTGAGATAAGAATTCCAATGCCTGCTTCCAAGAGAACCAAAACCTGTAAACAGGACCATGCTAGGATCCAAAACACATATTCTTCCCACCATATTATGGTGTAATAAAATACTACCTATATATATATATATATATATATATATATATATATATATATATATATATATATATATATATATTATATATATATATATATATGGCAGCCCAATTTCAAATAATGCAGAGAAGCAAAGCAAAGACATTCAGTACGATCCATCAAAAAACAGGTCTGACAATGTCATGTCACTACAGTCAAGGTGAGACATGTTTGCGCAATTTTCTGTGTGCATATTGACGGATAAAAAATGTGACACTAGTAATGTGAAAGGATAGAGTTGAATTTGCTTGTATGTTAATAGTATGGCATAGGATTAACATAAGACATGATAGCTTGGATAAATGATCCATGTCGGATTGATAGTAAGGTCTTCTTTTCTAGTGAGAGTAGCAGGATCTAGAAATATATGAGAAGCCTCAGCTACTCTCCTTTCTTTGTAGTTGCAAGTCTTTTTGTTTTATCTATTATTACCAAATAATTACGAGGTGCTCATTAGTGACTAGCTTCGAGAAGTAATTCTAGGAGTTCTAGTGAAAAGCTGTGACCAGTGGAGTTAAGCTGTGTCGTTTAGAGACAAGTATCTACCAAAGACAATAGAAGATGGTTACGCAATATCGTGGATTAGTTGAAGTTAGACATTAACGTTGTTGGATGCCGGCTCAGTTGTCTAGAATTCAAACGTTCGAGCGCGATACCAAAGGTCCTAGATTCAAACCCGATGTACAGGATCGTGAATGCGCACTGTTGAGGAGTCCCATACTATGACAAAACGACCATCCAGTGTTCCCAGGTTTTCAATGGTGGTTCAGCATTGATCGACTCATGATCTCAATAAAAAAATACTCAGAAATCTTTACAACCTCGTTACTGAAACATAAAATAGTTTGATTCGTTAACCTGCTTGGCGCAATTCTTGTAGTATATATATGTATATAAGATTACCTTCCTGGAAAATTTAAATCTTTAAAAGATATCTGGTACTCATGAATCCTATAAACATGAGGTTAGAGGTTAGTGAGATGTGAACTGATTGTACTTTTTTTGGTAGAGGTTTGTTCTCTGAGCTGGATGGTTTGGTCATGGAGCTTTCATCGTTCTTCTGAGTGACATCATCAGCGCAAACTTCACGTAGAATTGAAGTGTTTGAAGAACGTGTCAGAAGAACGATAAAAGCTCCACGACCAAATCATCCAGTTCAGAGAACAAAACTCCACCAAAATCATCCACCTGAGCTACAAATCTTCTCCACTGATTGTACTCTGAAATTCTGTTGTGTATTTTTTCGTCAGAATGGAAAGGTTTCTTTGATTAATAATAACACTAATGATATATTGGAATATGGATTAAATTTGGTCTATTTTCTTCTTCTTATATACTTTCTTTTACATTTTTTAGAGATCAACTGGTTTCCCAACATCACTGATAACAATTCTATTCAATTTATTCATTTATAAATTATTACCTAGAATTTATTTATTTTGATTATAATTGTAGTTTTCGTAATCATTTTTATTTATTGTGTATTTCCATTACATTTATACATTCTACATATCGATGCACACTTTCCTACAAACAAACAAACTACACATTGAATCCGTAATTTTGTCTTTTGTCATCTATTTTGCCAAATTTATTCTTCACCTCAATTAAAGAACAATCATTTAATCACTATTTCATGTTATTTTTATGTTTAGTTTGAGCAATTATTTTAATCGATGAATAAAAAATAAACTTTTTTTCTGATAAAAGGTATTTGATTTGTACAAAACAAAGTCCAAATTACAAGGATGTAACAGTAGGACGAAATGGCTGTCCAGTGCTTCGAGGTTTTCCGATTGACTAACCCCCAAATGCCCTGGTACAGCCGAGAGTAGGAAGAGTCCGCTCTCTCTCTCGAAATGCTCTCACATGGCCACGCGTGTATAGCTTCTGCCACAGAAGTCCTATTCACTGCCTTCTTGTGACATTACTGTTGTTTATGAAATTGAGCGGACGAAAAGCGAATGTCCGGCGCTTCAACCGGGTTGGTGGACATGGAGAGTCCACCTAGGGGAGTTGGAAAACCCTCATTCCAAACCAATAGTGCACATTAGCTCAAGTATTGTGAGGGAACAAATGGCGTATGAACCAATCGTTGGTCACCGGCTACCATGAGACTGCATCTTCTTACGATGCTCCACTGCTTTGTGGGTCAAACCTTTAGGTCGAAGACCCTGGGTGTGGCTCCCTAAGAAAACCACCTGCTTTGGTCTGAGCACCCGGGTAATATCACAGTCCACATACAAATCAAATAAGATTTGTGTGGCGCATGTGTATCTGGTGCCCCCTTGTACCAATATCTATGTGTTCAAACAAAAAATAAATAAAAATTAATTGACTGATGAGAACAACTATTAGAATTACTGTAATATCCACAAAATCCCATTCTGAATTTAATTTTATGTTCAATGAAAAAGGGTTTTATAGATGTGACGATCTAGTGAACATCTTAATTATTTAAGATATAGATGTGTGAAAACAATTTGACCTAAAATATTTCAGTATATGGAATGTTTAAGTATTCTTGATGATATCGTATTTATGTTTTGTCCTTAACTATAAATGATAAGGGATTCTATCATTATTTAGATAAATAGTCTGTATTTGAGACTTTCATCATGTTTTTTAAAGATGGGAAAAGTTTGAGTAAGTATTCATTTGCAGGCAAGTAACGGAAGAATTAAGCTAATGAAATTAAAATAAAGACGATAAGATTCGCCTATGAATGTATTATTGATTACGTATATATATATATATATATATATATATATATATATATATATATATATATATATATATATATATATATATAGGATATTTGTTCTTCGTGTTTCAGTGACATTCTTAGAAGTAAATACGGAGTTCCTCAATATCTCTGGTCATAGTTGTTCCGATTTTTCATCTCAATATAGTCAAGCTGAGGGGGGATGTATGATAATTAGAAGTATTCGAATTAATGTGCTAACAAAGAATTCCCGAAATAGTGTAATTTAAGTAAGGTAGAGCTAGATGAGCGCAAACGAATGTATTATATTTGGATTTCTTAATCAGCGCGCAATCAAGTACATAGGAATCGTCAGTTAGTACAAGTACCACAACTACCAGAGCTTAAGTGAGAATCTAAACTCCTGTTATCGATTGTACGTCTCCTTAAGTTTATCATGTGTCTGTCCAACTGTGTACTGGATGTAGACTCTGGATGATCTATAATGCACTCATTCTTATTAGAATTAACAACCGACATTGGAACGGACTCGCCTGGGTCCTCGGATTGTATTTGATCAGCATGTTGATTGTATGTACATAAATCACTGATATCTAGGATTCGCACCATAGATTTCCAACATTCTTCACCGCAATCCACGTGGCTGACTGGACCGTTTCCACGATAATATGTAACTTCTGAAGAGTTTAAACACTTCATATTTAAACGAGGAATTCTCCCTTTTAACAGCTTTGATGCACCCTTTTTGTCACAGAATGTTTAGCATTTCTATGTTGCAGTAGAAATGTATCTACTGCCCTCTCCAGTTCATTAAATGTTGAAGCAGAAATAGAATCAGTAACAGTCTTCAATGTCCTGGCGAAATTATCTGCCTGACCATTAGGACAAGGGTACCTGGGAGCAGTGAACAGATGTCTACACCCTATACCATTCAACCAGGTAGAAACTGCATCCGCAACAAAACTGGAATTATTATCAGTCACTAACACCATGGGAACTCTTTATCGATTAAACACCTTTCTTAATGCTTGTATTATGAAGTCAGAATTTGGTGTTTGTGAAAAGAACTTCGGGCCACTTGGAAAAACAACCAGTGTTGACTACAACTAGACACCTCGAGGTGGTAGACAATCTTACTGAGCACCATATGAATTTATCAAGATTGATAAACTATTGGTTGTGGACTTGATGTACCTCCAGGCAAGGTCATAAGTATAAGGCCACTCCGCTCCCATTCCTGTTTTTCTCTCATTACATAACAAAGACATCCTGGATGTTGCTAGCTTCTGGTCCGTAAGATGATAAAACATCCATGTTTCAGATATTCCTATCAGATAAGTATTATTAGCATTGCTGAGTTCACACAGCTCATCCGTTTTATTCAGTAAACTCGCGGCGTTCGTATGTAAGCAGTCTATACTTTCAATTTGAAACGCTTGAGCTTCCCCATCCTGTTAATCATTATGAGCATTAGGTGAATCTAAAAGTAACCTACCTAAACAGGTTTTTTGAATTGGAAGCCACCAATCCTTTTTACGTTTTTTCTAATGATCTAAACAGTCCATAAGTGGAGTAGTCAGCTCCAACTAGATTTGTGCTTGATCATGATATCGTATGGCCTATTCTGGTGCATATGGATCCCAATAGGCAACCAGCGTCTTTTAGCACTAGATGCTTTGAGAGTTGCAGCCACCATATGGAAAGATAGGGGGATTATTTTCATCAGATGGGGTCTAGAATCCCAATCCTTCTTGGCTTGTCACACCACTTGTCGAGTCAATATGTTTTTGAGCTTCAAGGACTGTTTGGTGAACTTCCACTGCCGAATATAAGAGTTTGTGTAGTCAGGGTTCACGTTTTGTGGTACGCCTTGCACGATGATATTTCTTCCACGAAAATACTTCTCGCAAGATACCTTAGGAATGTTCCTGATAAAATTGCACTCAGAATACGGTATGTTAGGCAGTATTCTTACATTCCCTGTTTAACTCTTTCCAGAGCAACCTAGCATTTTTTGTCCTGAGGACTTGAAGGAAGGTCAGGGCTGTCTTTAACGTTCATGATTATGAGAGAATCATCACAAACCATGATACTTTTTCTCACGTTTTCAAGTATATTCAGGTTGAGAACCTTTTTGCTTGGTGGTTAAAGAGCGTTTTAGATTCCTGCACTCTTTTCTGACCGGCTGGAAAATCTTAAAGGTAGACTATACGGCCAAATCGCCAGTTAATTTCATCACAATACCTGGGATGTTCTTCTTCTTAAACGGTGACGATCGACTTTTTAAACTTTGTTGACGAGGTCTGATCGCCTACAGAGTTTTGGGGGCGATTGTTTCACTGAGGGACCCTGTGCTGAGAGACCCAAGTTTTCTGAGTGGGTCTAGCACCGTTGATGCTATGACGGTGTTGAGCTTCATCATGTCCTCTCTAGTGTCAATCAATGCCCCATCAATACTACCGTTGTCGGGTCCCTCTTCTTTTCTTCACTGAGCGTCTTTGTATGTTTACCCGTTTTAGGACTGCATTTTTTTAGGATCGCTGACCGCCGTTTTCGCAAATCTGTCAAGAGAATGATGATGTTGCTCAGCAATACCCACATAACATCCAACTTAAAAAGTCAGTTGTAAGCATGTATCATAAGATTTGTGCATGCTTCGTGGAACCAACCTTTGCATATGTCACACTGCATATCAGAGGTAACAGCAAAACAGCGGCCACGTCGCCCACACGAATCCTTCATGGCCACAGTGACGTAGATTGTTTAACAGAAGCTAGCAAACGTTTGCGACCGTAACACAAAAAACAGTACACCAAGAAAAGATAAAATGGATAGTACACAAGGCTAGGATAAACTAAAACTACCTTTGATGTGAAAAACTGAAAAACTGAATAGTTAGCTAAGGCAAAACTACGGTCAACGATTAATTTGGGGAAAACTCATAAAGAAAAGTAATGTACCGAACTTTAAGCTCAGCATAGATCCTTTAGATTAAAAATGATACCGTTTTTGCGAAAGTTTGAGGAATGCAAATCACGTTAGGACTAAACTTCCAGTTCGTAAAGCGCGCAATATAATGTACAAAACTGCACTTCGCGGTGTAGCGGTAAATAAGTCCCCAAAATAAATAGCTCTGTAAGTTTTCGATATTGGATGCTGACTATATTAGTTTCAGTGGACTCACCTAGCTGAAGGCACTCGGTAATGCATCCGCACCAGATCACGTGTGGGAACGCCGTGCTCAACATCTGCCTCAATCGCTAACCAGACTAGATCAGACCATTCCGATATACTGGCAATCGTCAAATACAACTTCTGATCTCCTCGATTCTGTTTTTTGATTTCTCTTGGTGGGTACGAGTTATATTAGATGTTACTGGTAAAAGCGTTGTCAAACACTGAATACCTGTGCCATCTTCAGCGGTCTGTTTCTGCAGTTCAAGTATAAGGTTTTTTTAGATTTCTGATCATTTTGTCACATCATTTTATGAAATCTCGGTCTCTCTTCATTGAAAGCCAGCACACTGCATATGACTAAATAGTAAGTCCTTGAGAGATTCATATAAGTATGAAATGGGTTTGTTTGGACAAGCCAGATTCTCAGGCATATTATAAGCTTCTTTGTGAATGAACGTCAGAAAATAAGTTATGAATTTATTAACTTTAGTGTTTTTTTAGTCATGTACCAGATTTAAAACGACCTCATAATCAGGGCGCAACAAAGTACAAAGTAATTATAAGTTAGTACGAATAGAACAGGACGGTTGAGATATTGTTAGTAGTAGTGGATAAATGTAGATATCATTTAAAACAATTAGTCCCTTTGATAAATTTCGATAATGATATTAGAAGACGAAGATTATCGGAACTACGTGATATATAAGCGCAATACATTTCGAACAATCTGGTCACACATATACTTGTTAAGAACATTTATATATAAAAATAAAAGGTCAACTAGACTGAAAATGGGGTAAGAGGAGA